GGTGAGCACTAGGAGCATCGACTGACGGAGGCACCTGGTCGGGGTGCCAGGTGGTCCGTCACATTAGTCACCAGAACCACTACAGATTAATGTAGTTGTTCTGTTGCCTTTTCAGAGAAAAGACAGTTTTTACATTGCTGCCTTCCCTCAGACTGCCTCTAGAGTTCCGTGTCAGTGCTCTGCATGGAGGCGCTGAATGTTACCTATAGAGAACATGTGTAAGATCCTCCCAATTCTTTCCTATGGGAAAGCATTGGCTTAGCTGCGATCTCAGCTATGGAGGAGGGACAAGCCACGGCAAAACCAGCACGGCATAGGAAAAGAGGTGAGTAAAAACACCAATCCTGTGATCGGATGGGGGCAGATACCCAAACGCACGCACACCTCTGATATCCAGGACCATGTGGGAAAGCCCTCTCCTACTCCAGAGAGCGTAGCAGGAACAGCTCTTACAAGAGCTTGTGATTAGAACCCAGGGTAATATAAGGAGTATAGAAATACCCAGTGTCAAAGTGGCTTTCGCCACACATCTTCCCTTCCAAGGGTAGACTAACCAGGTACCTGACCTCCTGTCGGTCGTTAACTGAGTTAGTCGAGTAGGCCACCCACAACAAACAATTGCTGGACCTGGTGACTCCTGTAGTCTGTCTCTGTCCTATAGCCAGCGTTACAGCTGCGTAGTGGGGGGAGTTGTTAGTTCCTGGATCAAGGACCAGGGGAGGGCAGAGGCTAACTGCGCTCTGCCCGGTTGCCAGTGCTTCTGCTGGGGTGGCCGCAGGTAGTCAGGCCCTGGACAAATGGAAAGAAGAGGGCAGAGGCCAGCAGCACTCTGCCCGGATGCCAGCTCTTCTGCTGGAAGGGGGTCAGTGGGTATGGTCGTCCCATCCAACCCAGGGCCCGGCTGGGAATTGGCTATGGAGGGGAGAAATGGCATACCTGGTATCCCTGCGAGGTTAGTTGGGGATCTGGACCGGCCGTCCAGCATCCCTGTAGATCCAGTGCAGAGACCGCGGTCCCATCTGTACTATTGAGGTCAGAGTTGCTGTCCCCCTGTAGCTGGGGAGAAAGACCAGCTGTTTCCTTGCCCGGTATCTCTGGATGATGCTGGAGAGAGACCAGTTGTCTCCTCTCGCTGCAAGGTACACTGCCGCTGGGGAGGACGATATGCTACTCTCCCTGTAACGCACCCTGCCGCTGGGGAGTGAGACAGACTCTCTACTCCCTGTAACACACCCTGCCACTGGGGAGGGAGACCGCTTGTCTCCTCTCCCTGTAAGGTAAGCTGCCGCTGGGGAGAGAGACTGGTTGCCTCCTCTCCCTGAAACTCACTCTGCTGCTGACCGTCTCCACTCCCTGTAACTCCGGCTGTAGCTGGGGATCTGGGCTGGCTGCATGTAGGGTATTATGTGACTGAGTTGAGCTGAGCAGGTGTTGGTAATCCTGCTCCAGCCACCATCCCCTGCTGACCAGATAGATCAGGTCTGTCTCTAGGGCACCAGCTCCAGGAAGATTCTGGATAGTCCTATATGTCACAAAAGCGTGACTCTCTAGTACTCCCGAACTCCGGTTCGGCAGTCTTCCCATAACAGGCCAGGGCCATTGTAATCCTCGCCCTTAGGCCTGACGGACCTATTCATCAAGGGCAAACGCTGAGTCGCGTACCACCCTAGCACCTGGTACGCACCGTCAAGCCACAGTTCCGTCTTTACCAGAAAATGAAGCTGCTTAACCCACTCCCTCATGGGGCTGCTCTCCCAGCATAGGCATCCGCATTGCCACTCGCGCCTGTAGTCGCTTCTCCTCGCTGGGAAGATGCTCACCCCGCCAGCGCTGTTCCCCCTCCAGGGTTTCGTCCCACAGCTCTTTTCTGGCAAACTCTGCAGTCCAACATGCCCTCTTCTGATACAGGCCCATCTTGTAGGGTCCAGAGGTCCTGCAACTTCCAGTGAAACTCCTCTTCCACTTTGGCCGCTGTCCGGGGACCAGCTGGCTTCATATCGCTGTAGACAGGGACGCTGCATGGTAGCTGGCTCTGTCCCTCCATATAAATCTGTAACAATTCCGGTGTCTCCAGGATGCTGTTACTCTCACTAGGAAGCCATCCCACTGCTTGCCACCAATGTGACTGATCACCTGGCACCCCGACTGGGAACCTCCGCTAACAGATGCTTCCTAGCAAATGGTGAGGACTGTAAGCACCGCACCTGACACCTTACGTAACGCAGACTCCACAACTGCCGTAGCTTAGCTGGGATCTCGCCGTCTTCCTCCCACCCTGCACCAACCTCTGATATCCAGGACTGTGTGGGAAAGACTACTCCTACTCCAGAGAGCATAGCCGGAACAGCTCTTATAAGAGCTGGTGATTAGAACCCAGGGGAGTATAAGGAGTATAGCAATCCCCAGTGTCGAAGTGGCTTTCGCCACATAACCCTTTAATGGTGCAGTGTTTTATCCAGTCCCAACTCTCGTGAGTTGAATGGTTAGGGCTGCCAAGTGGCATCAACCCACTAGGTACAGTAGCGTTACAATTCTAGCACTCTCAGCCTAGTACATTATAGTAGATTATCCACCTCCCTGCCTTCAGCTGAGCTTTGCATGCAGGACTCACAGAAAGTGGCGATCTGAGATCACGACTTGGCGTCTTACTGGCAGGTGTCTGGAGATTCTGGATGCGGTAGATGGTGTTTAATGTCTGGGAGATGCAAGTAAGTTAATGTTGGTAAATTGCAAGACCGATACAAATTATGAGAAATATGCTGAATATTCGCTCTAATCGTTGAAAATGATAATTGGTTTATCCCTACTACCTCCACTGTATACACATTCACTGCATACACTATACACTACATCCCTTACACACATACACTCCACATGTTGTGGGCAGCCTCCAGGGTGGACCCTAGGGGATGCTGACCTTGAGTTGTGTAATGGGCCTCAAAATGCCTGATGGCAACCATGACAATGGTAGATTTGGAAGTACTTCAGATTCCGGTGTTTTAATTTTTCACATAATGATGCACGATAAGGCTGTGTTATTAGCTGTTTATCCTTATTTAATGAAAAGAGAAACCTTCTGAGATTTTAATATTTGATCTCAGTCCAATTAAGGGCATCTCATAGAGACTTGGTGTGTTCACCGACAAATGTAAATATTACCATGCTTTTGCATTGCCAGAAATAAAGGATAGGTACTATGCACAAAACTACTCTATTAAAATGAAGTTTTATTGGTTCTTAGTCTCCTCTTCACTTTCTAGCCTAAGGGTCAGTACATGAATGCTATGTGGGCCCTATAGGTCACTTAAACTTGGCTACAAAGCTTCTGCTTGGTCCTCTTTGCCTACCGTTATTCCAATGGTTTTAATCTTTTCTCTGTTCTCATATTCCAACATCTGAGTTTGAGAAAGTAGAAGAAAAAAGCTTGCAAAGATAAGTAAATTATCAAACTCCAGTGAAGTTAAGTTGCCAAATCTGAAAATATAAATATATATATATATATATATGACTTTACCTTCTTAACAATATTAAGTTTGATGTGTATTTACTTATTTCTGTATTATATTGATATTTCAAAATTAACGCCTTGGTTATCTTCTGGATAGCAGTTCATTAATGCATAATTCATCTTTTCACTGAATAATCTCAAGATTACCTACTGAGTGTGAGAGGTCATCTTCCCAAGCATTAGGATGGGGAGTACTGGGTGTCTGTTTTATATGAGTAGGCCGTAAATGTGTTGACCCCTTTATGTATTTTGTTTCATGCTTTCTTGTTAGTATGCCTCTACAAATTATTATACATTGTTCTTTCTTAATGGACTGTTATTCTGAATTCCTATACCTCTCCCTTCCCTGTCCCTTAGTGTACCTCTCCCTTCCCTGTCCCTTAGTGTACCTCTCCCTTCCCTGTCCCTTAGTGTACCCCTCCCTTCCCTGTCCATTAGTGTCCCCGCCCACCCCTTAGTGGTCCTCTCTCCTCCCTGGTGTGCCTCATTACCTCTCTTGTAGCTTGGCAGAGTGGAGCGGACCACGGTACAGGAGCTTCTGATTCCTGTACCCGCCCGGACTGACAGGAAGTGCTCTCTGTGAGCACTTCCTGTCGGTCCGGCTCGGTACAGGAAACTGAAGCTCTGCTCCACTCGACCACGCTACACTGAGTGACTGGCATGAGGGAGCACTGTGCGCTTCCTTCCTGCCAGTCACTCTGTTCTTGCGCCCCTGGAGCTGCAACAAGCTGCCTTATGGACGTGACCAGCTCTGCAAGTGCTGGTCCACCAACTCCTCTCACATTATCCGCAAAATCGGTATCAATAGTGGCCGATACCGATATATTTGCCAAAATCTGGAATATCGGCCAAACCGATAATCGTTCTATTCCTATAAATGATAACCAGAAACCTTTTCACATAGAATATGCAGAGATTTATCCATTGCTTAGTCTTAGACATTGCCAAAAAAACGAAGAGGGCATTTACCAGATAGTTACCATGTTTTCAGTAAGATATGTTGTATACACATTGTTGTCTAAGAACTCAATGCACATCTCCAGAACAATGTGTCCACTGGCATCTGTGGATTACCCTAATCTCTACCTTCACTTCCCTGTAGACCCTATTCTATATTCCCATCCTTCCTTGATTCTTTATTACCTCTATACCTTGATTGTATTTGATTTCCATTTTGTGGTGGTTCACTTATATTCCATGTAACCCAATGTTTCTAAAGACTGCTTACAAACAAGGGCTCAGTACTAGACTACATCAGTTAACCTCCTACCGCATGACTAAACTTGTATTTGCAATGCTGAAAAAAAATGCTTTATCTAATCTTACATTTTTAGTTTAGTTCTTACATATGCTATACTTTAATTTATTTCTTACCTAGAGTAAAACTATGCAGAATTTTACTCAGAATCCTTCTGGTTAATTGATATATTGTACATTTTTTCTTATCTTTGCATTTTATTTAATTTACCAGATAGTTGAGTGTTAACTTAGTATGTTAGTAACTGGAAATGACTGTCCAATCAAAACTGGAAGGGATGAAGCAATTCGCATTTGCCCTAAGCAAGGAGATATGTGCTCTGAGGAGTAAGTCTCTGGAGGGCCGAGGTGTGGTTATGATTGAAGGTTAGGTTATGGACATTGCCAGCCACACCAAGTGGCATAAAGTCAAAAGCTGTAACATGCCCCTTTTCCTATTTGTGTGACCTCAGATTTATATTGTGTACATGTATATATGTGCACAGTATTCTCTTTATTTTGTGCTTTCACAGACTAAGAGTTAATGTCCTGGTTTCAATGCAGCCCAAGATTGCATTTTGCTGGTGGTCTTTATGGTCTTGCATGTTGTTGCTGATCTGTGTGTGATTTTTATTTTATTTTTTGTTTCTTGTATCTTAATGATTATAATCCCTCCCATTGACATGCTTTTATTTTTATATATATATATATATCTATTATATATATAATTTTATTTATTTATTTTCTTCCTTATGCTTGCCCACAATATCTGGGTGTCTTCTTTTTCTTCTCTCTGTCCATGATGTCTGCAATTTGCATTGCTTTGGAAATCTTTTGATGGATTGTGGGTAAATTAGCTTAGCAACTGAAATGGAACATGGCTTAAGCTTTGACCATTGCTAAAGGTCACTCTCCCCGTGACAAAAAAATAGTGTCTACTTTGTGTTAAAGGAACACCTTAGGGTCAGGACTACAAATGTGTTTAAATCACATAAGATGATCACTTGCCCCCTTTAATATAGTTAAAAACTCGCCTTATTTCCAGCGCCACAGGATTCTGCCAATGTTCACAGCCAATCACAATGCTTTCTCACAAGAAAACATTGGATTGGCTTAGATTGTCAATTCTGATTCCAAGGAGGCAGGTCGGGGGTGGGGCCAAATGCTGCCCTAGCCAATAAGCATTTCCTCATAGAGAATACATCTATATGTAATAATACATCTCATAGTGATACAGTGCGTCTCCATGGGGCGCAGGGCGTGGAGATGCTGATCACCAGTGCTGCAAACTGTGCAGCACTAATACAGGAAGCGCCTCCAGTGGGCATCTAAGGAGTGGCCACTGGAGGTGTTCCTAGGTGCTAATGTGAACACTGCCTATTTTTCTGAAAAGACAGTGTTCACAGCAAAAAGCCTGCAGGGACATGGTATACAAACCAGAGCAATTGCAATTAGCTGTAGTTTTTCTGTGACTATAGTGTCCCTTTAAGTCAAGAATGTCAAACTTGCGGCCCGCCTGCCCTGGGGCCGGTTTGTGCTGTAGCTGCGACCAGCCACAAGGCAGGAAAGACCGCGGGCTCCCGTGCCCGCTAGTGCGAAGAGTGGCTGTGTCCCTCCTGCTCGCAGTGCCAGAGAAGCGTGTGGCCTGCTTAAAGAGAAGTGACATACCTGGAACTGGAGGACGGGCAGCTCATTTTACGGTAGGGCAAGAGGTACTTGGGGAATTTTCCTGTGTAGTGTGTCAATTTGGGGAGGGCAGTGTATTAAATTAAGGAGGGGGAGGGCAATGTATTAAATTGGGGGAAGGAGGATGCAATTTATTAGTGGTGATGTGGAGCAGTGTATTAGAGTGGTGGGACGGGCAGTATATTTCAGTCCCATTACCAAACTTTTCTTAATGTGTCAAGATAGTTGGATTGAAACATTAGTCATATGCAAATGCACGTCTCTAAGATAAATTCGCTTTTTGAAGCCCTACAAGTGTGAGGACGTCCAGTGTCGGTTAAGCAACTTTTCTTTTTATACTATACTCTTTGAAATACACCTACATTTCTATGAAAACTGACGTTTTTTTTTTTTGTTTGTTTATTTTTTAAAGCCTACGTAAACACAATCCTTGTTTATTTAGCCCATGTAAGCCTTTGAGTTTGACATGCTTGCTTTAAGTATAACAAATTTAAAAAAAACTAATGTAAATTTAAAAATTAAAATGAAAAAATGTTGCAATGGAGGGACAAAAAAGGACTTTGAAAATCTGCAAATTGATAATGCTGCCTAAAGTTTTGACTGCTTTACAAAGCCTGTATGACCCAAGTAGCAGCACTCTAATGCATATTTTCCTCGTAGTAGTAGTAGTAGTATTTGCACTATACAAAGGACCCATAACAGATGTTTTGGATGGGTTGTCTGCTTTAGATCAGTTCTTGCTGGCCCCCTCATGTCTGCATCCAGCAATAGCCCTTACATGCCGTGATTGGAGTTCAGAGGCTCCCCAGTATCACTCTTTGGCAATGGACATTCTTTGGCTGTGGTATAGTGCTACATTGCTGCATCACTAGTTTGGTTCTCAGCAATAGCCACATCCCAACATGATCTGTGAGACATGCTGCATAGGCAGCCTTTCAATTACAGATGTACATGTACTTCAATCCTCATTAAAACTGTTAGTGATGGCTACATACATTGTAATTCAGCTGTCAATAAGGTGTTAATCATTTTCCTCCTTTTCTTTTATTTGTTTTGTACCTTTTTGTGTCAACTAGCTGTTTGCTTGCATTTGGTTCAACTTTTTATTTTCTTATATATAATCTGTTATTTTATTTTCTTGTTCTGCCATTTTATTTAGATTTCATTCATATGACTTTGACTACCCTGCCCACTTAAACAGTGTGTGTGTGTGTGTGTGTGTGTGTGTGTGTGTGTGTGTATGTATATGTGTGTGTATATATACATATATATATATATATATATATATATAATTTATTTATTTTTTTTATTTTTTTTCTCCTATACAGTTATTTTTGCCAGCTTGTGGACGGTCTGGAATATCTTCACAGTCAGGGCATTGTCCACAAAGACATCAAACCTGGGAATTTGCTGCTTACAACAGACGGGACGCTCAAAATCTCAGACCTAGGAGTGGCGGAGGTAGGTTGTGAGGGATCAGGGGGTCACTCCCGAGGAATGCCGCCTCTGCAGTGGGGCATGGCAGTTTGGGGTCACCTCCTCTCTCTCCACAGGCCTTACACCCATTTGCTGAGGGTGACACATGCAGGACCAGCCAGGGGTCCCCAGCTTTCCAGCCTCCAGAGATCGCCAATGGTCTGGACACCTTCTCAGGGTTTAAAGTGGACATCTGGTCAGCTGGCGTGACGTTGTGAGTTTTCCATAGTGCACATGTCACCGAATGTTCCATGCCAAGGCCTCCTCCCCCACCTCTTTTTTTTCCTCTGTATCATCTGTTTTATAGCTTTCATAATTTTCAGTAGATACAGGAAACCTTTTGCACGTTTGACATCCTTCTTATTACTAAAATGCCACCTAAGGTGCTTCTCGTTTAACTGCCTTCTCCCTGCACAGGTATAATATCACAACTGGGCTGTACCCCTTTGAGGGAGACAATATATACAAACTGTTTGAGAATATTGGTAAGGGAGACTACACCATACCTGAGGACTGTGGGCCCCTTCTTTCTGACCTACTGAAAGGTGAGAGAGAGGTTAAAGGCAACAGAACATTGACACCTAAAGAATTGTTGATTTTGGCAGGGCTGATGTTGCATTAAGTAAGTCATTTGGGCATTAATCAACAAGGAATCGTGCTGGGAATTATATATGTTGTAATGTGGTATGAAGCATAACGTAACTTAAATGTAAAAAAAGCACATGCTAGGATGGTGCAAGTAAGATATATACGATAAAAGGAACATGTATGAAATGTAGTACTAGTGGGATTTTGCAAGTAGGGGAGAATGTGGGAGTGAATAAAAAGACAGCAGGGGTTGGCCTATAAATAAGGTGCTGTATGTACCATAAAGTAGTGTAGCTGTAGGATGTAGATCAAACAAGCAGGTGTGGGAGAGTTAAATCTGAAAGACTAATCAAAAAATGTATTTCATTAATAATTTAAAGGTGAGAAAACATAGACTGTAAACTTCAAAGAGAACGGTAATTCACATCACTAGCAATAATGGATAGTTTTACAAATACAGCACTTTTAAATGCGTTTTTTAACTGCATTTATCATTTTGCATTTTGAGAATGTTGTACTAAGTTTACATCTTGTTGGAGTTTGTAGAGTTTGAAATACAGACTATAAGATGGAAACGTTGACAGAGGCAGGGGAGCAAAGTATGTGGATGAGCGAATTGGGCTTATGCTTATGCAGGGATGTAAGGTAGAAAGAGTTGTGATTGATACTGTAGTACCATACTTGGAATTGGGTTATAAGTGAGAAGTGCAGAATTGAGTGAGTTATGGAGCAATTAAGGGAATTTTAGATGACGAAGATTAATGTCTTTGCTAAAGGAGTGTAAAGGAATAAGAAAGTAAATGGTGTGTAGCTGAAGGAGTTGGTGTATTACATGCATTGCATTAACATATATACTCAGGTAATCAGCAGACTGGTGAAAACCGTTGATGCCCAGAATTGAAGAGTGGAAAGGCTGATGGCTTGTAAGACATCAGAAATATGTTAAAAATGGGCCTTTAGCTGAAAAGTTCATAATCCTTCAGATACACTCTATTTATATAAGAACACTTAGGACATACTTGAAAATGAGCGAAATCTCAATGTATCTTTCCTGGTAAAATATTTAATAAATACATTTTTTACATGTTCAATAAACATATAAGTTATGAAAAACACACATTTTAGAAATTTTTATAATTGCTGTTTAATGCTGCATGCACTGTGATAGGAATTCTGCCTTTATTCTAAATGCCTTTGGGGAGTAAAGTTACTGACTAATGTCAAGGAAGTGTTCCACGCATCCCTTCTTGTTATCCCCTTGCTTACCTGCTTTCTCTGATTAAGGATTACAGCAATACATTTTAAAAGATACTAATCCTAGATGCACCTTTTAAATGTATGTTATCGTTTTTGTACTTTTTATTTATTTATTTATTATGTGTACGACATTTGTCATTAGGCATTGCCAATTTTTAAAATGTGTAATTTATACTGGGTAATAATTCTGGAGCACACTTTGTTTGACACAGTCTCCTGCTGCTGATATTGGGTGTGGTACGCATTGCTGCAGAATGCACAGAATACATAGGGGCTCCCTTCTTCTCTGATGCAGTACCAATGATGTGCAGTGTGTGGCGCTGTCTCATCACACCATTCAATACCTGAGTATTTCATATGTACCCCAACACCTCCTACCCCTCCCCTTCTTGGTCTGTCCAGGAGCAGCGCTGACGTCTTTTCATTCATTGAAATTTCTGCTTCATTCAGTTTTGTAGAGCTGTGCGTGTGTGCGGGGGTGGCTGGCATACAGAGGAAGGGAGAGCCTTGGGAAGACGTGGGTGGATCCTTGGCCTGGGGAGGGAGAAGAGGGTGCCGTGTGTGAATATGGAAACAAAATACATATACACACCACCTTACAACCTGCTCAGTCACAAAGGGAATTAGATTTGACAGGCTATCTTAGATTTAATGTACTCTATTGCAGCAGTGGTATGAACAGATTATCCTGTCTTCTGTGAAGAACGTTTTCTCAGATCTCTAAAAAGCACAATGCACCCTCCTCCCCCTGTCATTCATTATTGGTGCTTCTGTTAGGATCTGTGGTTTAACTCATTGCTTACATTAGTAATGTTTATAAACTGGCTTAGCTATAATAGATAATCATGAGAACTGTGTTTCTCAAAAATGTCCTGAGGTCCTCCTTAACAGATGCCTGTCTGAGCACATCAGGCCTGCCTTTTGAAGACATTATTCAGAAACCGTGCTTGATGCAGAGACTGAAAACTCTTACGGGAATAAAATAGATAATGTAAAAGCAATCCTACTTCACTGTTTTATTAGGAGAACATTTCCAATTCTCTGTGGTATAAAATGCTCTACCCTAATTAACAATTTTGGTCCCTTTGCAGAAATCCACATTTGTTGACTCATGCCGCATCAAGAATTTATATGGTTGATAGTGGTGTAACTTGCCGAGTTACTTTGGGCTTTCCTAGAAGCTGTGTTTGAAATAAGATGACAAGTTACACTTCCCCCCTTTCCACTTAAATGTAACATTGCCATTTTTACAAAACAGCAATGTTTTACATTGAAGGTTAAAACCACAGGACCACTGTACCAAGACCACTTCATTGAGATGTAGTGAAGACAGTTTCATTATAATATTAAATCAAAGAACCAAACCTGTGTACTCACCATAGTTAAACACACTTCTCATTTATGTACTATGTTTAAAGGACCTCTATAGTGCCAGGAAAACATATTCGTTTTACTGGCATTATAGTGCCCTGTGGGTGCCCCTTCCCGCCGGGCTCTAGGGGGTGGGACGGGTTAAATTTACCTATTTTTCCAGCGCCGGGCGGGGGACTCTCCTCCTCCGCCTTCTCATCATCGGCTGAATACACATGCACGGCATGAGCCGCGCGCGCATTCTGCCAGTCAATAGGAAACTGTTTATAGAAGAAAGGGTTAATCCTAGCTGGACCTGGCACCCAGACCACTTCATTAAGCTGAAGTGGTCAGGGTCCCTATAGTGGTCCTTTAAGTCCGAGTGGCCTACAAAAACATGATTTGTAAAGGTTAGGAACGTTATAAATTTCCACCAGAGTGGTGGTGTAAAATATTTTCCACAGGAAAAGTGAAATTTTCACGTGTTGGTGACAACAGGAAGGTGCACTTTGCGCTTTCCATTCCTATTCTACTAGTGATAGTAATTTCTATTTTGGACATAATCCTGCCTCCTCTTCTACGATTTTTTTTTTTTTTCTTGCTCCCCTATAGGGATGTTGGAATACGACCCAGCTAAGAGATTCTCAATTCAGCAGATCCGCCGACACAAGTGAGTCCCGTGTTGCTTTGAAGTCTTGTATTTGTAAAAAAAAAAAAAATTGTACAGTATCTTTTTATACTTGGGTACATACTATACACCTTTCTTTTCGTTCCCTTCAATCAGCTTTCCTTTCTCTCTTGACAACACTTCTTCGTATCCATTATATTTTCAACCTTTTACTCTAATTTATCTATTGTTAGTCTTTAGCAAATATGTATTCCTCTACCCAATTCTTTTTTTTGTTTTTTTTTTTTGTTTATTGTTGAAAAGCATTTCCCTTTCTCTTTTTAGTCCACGTCCTTTCCTTTTCAAATTTTCTCCTCTTGCCATCTTCATCTTTCATCTTCTTGCCATAACTACGTTATCCTCTATTACTTTTAGCCTCATTTGTGTGTTCTCTTCTTATATTCATTTTCCGCAAACCATGCTCTTTCTGCATATTTTTTTTCCCCAAAGGGCACTGTAAGAATAGTGAGCTCCCAAATGCTGATATTCCATGCATACTGAGATTCGTTAAAGCTCCTTCTCCACCACTCTTTCATGTTCTCTTCTCCTGACGTCTGAGCAACAGGAATAGCCTTGAACTGTATCCCTTTCATTTCTCCTTTCCAATGCTGCATACAAGCGTATAGTCATCATCGAATTGTTTATCTCACTGAATGCTGCATGCAGCTTTTAGTGTATGATTAAGCATCATGCTTGCAGCCTTAATTTATTTTGTGTCTAACGGACTGCTTTCTGTCTCAGCTAAATATCCATTTCATCATTATTTCTGCAATTTCGGGATTGTAGAGAGGATATATTTGTGATTCACTGAAATGAAGAGTGATCCCTTCAATATTACTTCCATTAGAGGTGTTCTTTATGGAGCCAGCCTTTGTAGGTCATATAGTATTAGACATTAGTGTTCTGTACAAGACTACTGTCCTGCATGCACCTGGTTCTAAAAGAACGCACTAAGTTATTCTAGTGTGATTTGATCTTTCAAGGCAGCCCAGAGCAGTGATTGAGTTGGACACTGGATTAAAAGTTACTGCTGGAGATTACGATTTAGGTTTAGAATTAGAAGTTGGTGAAGTTTTTGCATAAGCGGTAGTAGTTACTGTTGTAGAGATAAGGAATTCAATAAAGTTTAAGTGTAGATGTTAAGTTAAATCTAAGATTTTGGGCCAGAGGCATTCTGGAGTTTAAAAAAAAAAAAAAGTGTTTTTTTTTTAATATAAATTATACAGATAATGCATTAAAAGTATTGCAAAATAGACTGCCTGCTGCAGGCAAACCTGTCTCACACTAGGATGATATTCTCTTATTTAGGAGTGAGGTTCTATGGCAATAAAACAAGAAAAATGTCTGGGTAGGCTTGATGAAGAAAGAGTATGAAATCCAAATTATAATTTTTTGTTTTTCTGAATGTTTATAAAGGGGCTCTGATGTTTGGAAGGTATTGACCATAGCTAAAATGATGATGATGGTTTTTATCTTGTGGTGGTGTTTTTTTTTTGTTTTTTGTTTTCAAGAATATTTGGTGGTGTTTGTTAGTGGGTGGTAGGAAGTCAGAGAACTTTTATGGTTGATGATGAAATGTGTAAAAGGCTTGCAGAAGTGTAAAAACCAGTATGCAGACTTTTGGGGAATTTGTGCTTGTTTATTGAATGAGGAATGGTTGCTTTGGCATTTAGGGCGTATAATCAGATATTTCAGCTCGGAAGTCATATTTCTCTTTTTTATTGTTGTAATGGTTGGATGCTACTCGCAATGAAGGTACATATAGTTAAAGGATTAGTTCAACCAAAAAATACTTTATTTTGGCTTAACCCTGCCTCCACCCTTGGAAAATAAAGAAAATCTAGGTGTAGTTACATCTCTGGTAGCAGAAGAGTTTAACTTTGTATATGCATTGTTTAATGGCAAAATGCTGCGGCACCATAACCACTTTAAATCTGTGAAGTGGTCATGGTACTTGGAGAATCATTTCAAGGGATTACATATGAAAAAGGCTATCAAGTGTAAAATCATAATTTACAGTGTGCAAACTGGGGATTGGGTGGTGGGTGGGGGTTAGAGTGGTGTTCATAAGGTGTTTCTTGGCTAAGAAACTGCAGACTAAATTACCACTTATGAAACATTATCTTCTGAGCTCTACTGCTAATACAAACTTTAAGCGTTTTTTTTTGTTTTCACATATATTTTTATTTTTTAAACAAAAAGGGAAACGTGGTATGTTATATATAGACAATTTGAGGGATATATATATATATATATATATATATATATATATATATATATATATATATATATATATATTTACAGTAGTGATAACAATTCTAAAAACGGAGCATTCAATTTTGTATCCATGGTGACTGGTTCTAATGCATGCTCCACATTTAAAACTTGCCCCAGATTTTCTCTTTTTAGTTATACAGAAGCCTTGTCCTATTTCATTGCCACCACAAGTGTGTCTTGAGATATTGCACCAGTCTTTTTTTGACTAGAGACATCTCAAGCTTTCCGAACAATGACCATCTTTGAGGCTGCCCGAACTCCACCCATGTGCTAAGTTAGCAATTATCTAAATATTTCTATAATTGTAGAGCTGTTAAATACGCCAGTCTCTTTTCTCTCTTTTTTCCCCCCATTTCAAAGGGATATATATCTTAAAATTGTCCTCTCTACCTCATCTGTTATTGTTGCATTCATTCAGTTCTGTTTCTTCTCTCTCTTTCTCACATTTCCCTGTCTCATTCTCTCTAGCTACACCTTTCTCAAGCCCTCTATTTGCTCTCCCTCTCTATTACTGTTCTTCCTCCCCATTACTGTTCTTCCTCCCCCCTCCTTGGTGACAGGGTTCTTATAAGACAGTGTGTGACTCATCCGTTGTGCGTGAAGTGATGTGCAGAGTAACTGTGTGCCCCCCCTCCCTCCAGTTGCCATAGCAACTGGGTCACCTCTCTGTATGCTTCTTTCCATCAGAGAGAATAGAGGGAGCGAGTAAAAGCGAAAAAAATATATATTTTCTTGACTGTAAGCTCGCAGGAACCTTAGCGCAGCATTTCCTATTTCTGTCAACATTTGGTCCCCTATTTTTAGACCTGTAGAAATAGGACTGCAGTTGCTAATTAAATAGCAGGATGTGGGGAAGGAACAATGTATCTACGTGCCCGTAATTAACATAAACCCTCAAGTATACATTTCACACTTTGGAGCAGAACATGACCGTCAATATTATAGCTGTTTGTTAAACATGTCTGCACAAGTTGGAGAATCATTTAGCTACAATTTGACATGATGGTGATGGGAGGTCCTTAAAATAAGTCCTATTACCCACCCAGAAAGGCTTAGGTGCTAAGTTTTAAACCTGGGCTATGAGTGTACATTTGGATTATAATTGCTAATATCCACAGGGGTGTCCACTACAGAATTTGTGAGATTGGGAGTCCATGTTTTGGCCAGTCACATTTAGGCCCCATTTAAATCATAGGTAAATTAAATTGATATCTGCTACATATTCCACAGCTTTTTTTTTACAGTGAGGATTTAAGACAACAGCAAGTAAGAGACTGGTTAATGAAAAGAATAGATGGAGAGAACCAAATTATCTCCAACCTGCATGCTTATAAATTGATAACCTAACCAAAGGATGCTCATTTAAAAATTTAAATCCCCAAATAAACAAAAGAAAAACACAACTTGGCATTCTTCGGAGTAATTAAATTACTCTTTGTATCATTTTTTTCCAGTTGGTTCAGAAAGAAGCATCCCCAAATGGACCCCCTAGTCCCTATTCCCCCTAGCCCAGAAACAAAGGACCGCTGGAGGAGTCTGACTGTTGTGCCTTATCTGGAAGATCTGCACGGGTACAGTGAGGATGAGGACCTATGTGATTTGGAGGACGAAATCATCTACACACAGGATTTCACAGTGCCAGGTAAAAGCAAATAATGCTTGACTGTGCCACATATGAGAAAGATGTTGGCACAGAGAACAGATCAAACTATTTGGCTATCAGTCCCTATTGTTGTCACAGATTGATTTCCTGCACAGTAAAATCATCAATATTACATGTACTAACCATAACTGGCTTACTCTGAGCACACTACATTACAGTATTTCTCAGTTACTCCTTTACTACTTCAAGCATTAAAAAAAAAAACATTGCACATGCCTCAGAAAGTATCTGGAATTAACATTCTCTGCACCTGTGAGTCAGTTGGCTGCTTAGGCTCCTCTGCCTTTCCAGAAAAATTAACTGGCCTGCTACGTGAGGCCTAAATATCTAGTATTTGTTTCACTGGAAAGCAGAAATAGTTGTCATACCACACGTGAGCAATATATTTTACTTGATACATGCCAGATGACATGATATATCTAGCTGAGAACGTAGTCAGGCCACCAGCTGTAGACAAAAGGGGACAAGGCAAGAGGCAAACTCAAAGATAAGAATCTTGGACAGCAGCCCCCAAAACCTCTCAAGAACATACCATGACACAGATAGGTGGTTAAGGAAATTCACTCTCTTAAACACACCTACTCCTACACACTACTGCATATTTGTGGATCCATACATGCACTACTACCACCGTTATTACATACACACACTGCTGCACACACACGCAAACACATGCAAACACTCACATGGCATAATATATGCGTGTATTCACTTTTTTTTTTTTTTAAACATATTTTAATGATTACAGTAGGTTTTTTTTTTTCTGTTTTGTGTCCCCCGCCCCCTCCAAGTTGTTGCTTTTCTATAGATTAGCAGAGTTGGAAGGGTTGGGGGCGCTTGAGGATTCAGTGCCTACAAATACTCATGTAAATTCGTGCCTACAAAAAGATACCTTTTAGTTGTACAGACAGAAGGGCTTTGTATAAAGACATGCCAGTATAAGACTGACTTATATGCATGGTTTAAAATAGAGAGCGATTGAAGAAAGTTACGTACATTCAATATGAACTACAAGACCTTTTTTGGCATATGAAGATGAAGTTTAAGGGGAGAGGGAGAAAGAAAAAGACAGAGTGTAACTGCAAATGCATGGATAGAACCAGAATTGGTTGAAACGTAATAGGAAGAACTCAGTTTCGAGTCCTATGCTACGAGCCAGGCTTAAGTTAATTGCCTCTGCAAGCCAGGAGAGTCCATGGCAGACTCACAAGGGCTGACTTTTTTTTTTTTCCACCAATGACTTGTGCAGCGTGGAACAACAATATCCAATAATTCTAAATATGAGCACCATAAATGAACAATTCTTAAATGCAGCAAGTGCCGAACACGCATCCAAGCTTCCCCATAGTGGTGGGTTTACTTGTCACGTGACTTTGTCAGTGCCGCAGTAGTGCTAGAGGTGAATTTAACTGTTACATTGCAAAACTAAAGAATGACTGCACCCAGACCACTTCATTGAGGTAAAGTGGCCTGGGTAAATTTAGTGGTCCTATAAAAATACAGAAAGGAGCATGCACTACCAGCTCATCAAGAAGATAGACAAAACTTACTAATAGGCTAACTTTTTAATCTTAATTTCATATTCTTAAAATCAGTAAGCCAAAAACGTCACACGAAGCAAGCAGAGAATAAGCCTATTTGGTAAAACGTAAGATTTTGCTGCCCCTGCTTGCGTCATCTGATGTGCTTGATTTACTGATTTTAAAACTTTAGCCTACCGAAGAGTTTTCTATATTTTTCTTGGAGGGCTGGGAGTGCAGGACTTTTTTTTTGTTTCTTTTTAAGGTTCACATGAATAAAACGTATTTACATATAGTTGTCTTAATAAACAAAATAAAAGTATACATATGCACATGTACACCGTGCCACATGAAATGCAGTTATTTTTTTTTTTTTTAATAGACTGGTAACTACATTCAAGTTGATTTATACTCACCCTATCTATCGTAACTTTTTAAAATCTTCTCTCCCATCACGAATCAGGACAGGTGCCTGAGGAGGATTTGTTTGCACAGATGCAGAGCCATGTTCCCTCCAAACAAGTGTGTATGAATGGCACAGAGAGCCAACTTAAGGCAGAAAGGAGGGTCAGCTCTGCATCACAACGCAAGACTAGCACTGCGGGGAGCAAAGTACGCAAATTATCAGCCTGCAAACAGCAGTGACCATAGGGATCCCTTTGTAAGGTAAGGATTTACCACCCAGCAAAATAATGTAGTTTTTGTGATGACAAAGGTAGGGGTGACATAAATTCAGTACGCAACCTTACTGTACAAAAAAATAACTGCTTACAAGCCTAAGATCTCACCATTTTCCAATAAACCAATAGAAAGATTTATAGTGTACAAAAAAATTGCCTATTGGATGTAATGAAAGATTGAGTACTTGGTGGAAAATATGATTGATAACATGACATGCATGGGTAGTCAAAAGCTCTGGTCTGTTAAACTAGACCCCATGATACACATCCAGGTTGCGTGTCAAGAGTATTAGTGTAGCATAATGCTGGAAAAGTAGCTTTTTAACTACCCCACTTTTTCATTATTTGCTTTTTTACTTTGTTGAGCCAGTGTGTGTTTGCAAGTTGAAGCGGTCTCCTTGTACTTGGACTCATTCTCTTTAATGTTCTTATTAGTGATATTGCAGAAGGTCTTGATGGTAAGGTATGTCTTTTTGCTGATCATACAAAAATATGTAACCGGGCCGATGTTCCAGGAGGGATAAGCCAAACGGCAATTGATTTAGACAAGCTAGAAGAATGGTCAGAGTTGTGGCAACTGACATTTAATGTGGATAAGTGCAAGATAATGTCTTGGACGTAAAAATCCAGGGGCAGAGTACAGAATATTTGATCGTCCTAACCTCAAAATCTGAGGAAAGGAATTTAGAGGTGATTATTTCTAATGACTTAAAGGTATGCAGACAATGTAACAGAGCTGCAGGAAATGCTAGCAGAATGCTTGGTTGTATAGGCAGAGGTATTAGCAGTAGAAGGAGGGAAGTGCTCATGCCATTGTACAGAACACTGGTGAGACCTCACTTGGAGTTTAGTACGTAGTACTGGAGACCGTATCTCCAGACGATATTGATACTTTAGAGAGAGTTCAGAGAAGGGCTGCTAAGCTGGTTCATGGATTGCGGGATAAAACTTACCAGGAAAGGTTAAAGGATCTTAACATGTATAGCTTGGAGGAAAGGCGATACAGGGGGGATATGATAGAAACATTTAAATACATAAAGGGAATCAACACAGTAAAGGAGGAGACTATATTTAAAAGAAGAAAAACTACCACAAAAAGAGGACATAGTCTTAAATTAGAGGGACAAAGGTTCAAAAATATCAGGAAGTATTACTTTACTGAGAGGGTAGTGGGTGCATGGCATAGCCTTCCAGAAGTGGTAGAGGTTAACTGAGAGGGTAGTGGGTGCATGGCATAGCCTTCCAGAAGTGGTAGAGGTTAACACTGTAAATGAGTTTAAGCATGCGTGGAATAGGCATAAGGCTATCCTAACTATAAGATAAGGCCAGGGACTAATGAAAGTATTTTAGAAAATTGGGCAGACTAGATGGGCCGAATGGTTCTTATCTGCCGTCACATTCTATGTTTCTAAATTAACACTGGAACAAGGGAGAAGAGGACTACTTGATTGATTATAATAGAAAATGTGAGTCTATATTTGTAAGGGTTTCCCTCAGCAGCAAGAAATTTTGCTCTGGCTGAATTAAAAAAATAACAACTCATACTGTGACAAGCTTAGATTGCTTTTTACTAGCTAGCTGTTTTTTCCATTCTTTATACAGAATATGGTGCAGGGGAAACTCCTGCATTATGGATCCGCTTTCTTCCACTTTACAAATGTAGAGTCTTTTTATTTACAAGCATAGAATGATTCTTTTAATGCAAGAAGCCCTTTTTTGGGTTTAATAAGTACAAACATTCTCCCTAGTAGTTTGTGAATGTTGAAGGTTCTCATTTCCCTATGGGAGGAGGATAACTGGCGAGTAAACGTGTTTGATACATCCCTATAGCGGGAGAATGTTACTCCAGGAGCAGCACTGAAACGGTTAGAAATCATTAACATGTATACCATGTTCTTTCCCCACTTCCCTATAGAGGTATGGGGGAGGGTCAGATCATGCGCCTGGCACTGAGGCAGTGTGGGCGGCTTTAGGAAGGAGAGGCGTCAGAAGAGATAAGTCTGAATAAGAGGTGTCTTCATTCACATCCTACAGAGAATGAGTCACAACCACTTCCAATAGCAGTGAGCCTTTACTGACGTGGATTCCCCTCTATCCCCCTCCATATCTATTCTGTTTTTATCTTTCATCCTTTATCGCTGTACTGTTTTTGTAACCCCTCCTCTACTCTCTGTCTCTGTATGCCCTCATTTCTTTCTCTTCTCACTGTACAAACTCCTTTAAAATCCCAGTGTCAATTCTTCTCTTTAATTCCTTAACATCCTTTTTTTTTTTTTTCGTAATATGATCTCAATCTTTGTTTTCTATACCCTGGAATCCTGATAATCTTCCTGTTTCCTATATTAGCAGTACTAATTTCTTTGTTTTGTAATCCTCTAATAATGGTCTACCAGCTGCTTTCTGTACTGGGTATTTCTCTCAACCTCTTATTTTTAACCTACCCACACTCTCGTGTATTTGAATTACTTCAGTCTCTTGTTTGTCACTGACAATCAAGTTTTCATTCAGATATTTCGTTCTTGTAATGCCACATTCTAATTTGAACTTTTAGTTTTATTTGTGTATTTGCCTCCTTAGTAGTGGAATACATGAATTAGTATACCACAATTGCACTATTTCTTTAGTGTTTGTGAAAACTGTGAAAGACAATCTGGTTGTCAGGGGAATAGAATAAAAGACTCTGTAGAGAGGAAATAAGTGTCAGAACTGTTTTGAGCCCCCTTAAACGTGTTTGCAGGGAGGCCACAGCGGTCTGCCAAAAGATCATCTTTTCCCTTCCTAATGTAATCACTATTTTTGTTTCAAATTACTCGTGCCGTCTATTTCTTTTCTGTATTTCTTTCTCTGTTAAAGATGCACTCTAAATATCATAACTATTACAATTAATTGAAGCCATTGTGGTGGTATGAGTCTATTGGTGCATCTCCAACTGTTCTGTCATACTGTTTTGTAGTGGTTTGACAAAAGGTTCTTCTAGACATCCATAGCCTGCTCCATCTTTAGCTCCTCTGATAATGGGGGAATTAGACCTATTCATTATCTAGTGTAAGTCCTACCAACCTTGCACAGCATTGATGGGTTGAGAGGCAAGAGTGGGTTAGACTCCTAACGCCATAATCACAGCAATGATCTTATAGTGGTTATTGTGCTTAAATTGTCTATTTAACACATTTGAACTCTTGCACAAATCCTTTTTAAAAAAAAAAAAAAAAATTTAAATCGTTAAAGGACCACTATTGTGCCAGTGCCTTGAGGGTGCACCAACCCTCATGGCCCCCTTCCCACCGGGCTGAAGTTGGAGGAAGGGGTTAAACACTTACCTTTCTCCAGCGCCGGGCTCCCTCGGCACTGGGGACTCTCCTCCTCCTTTGGCCGCGCGCGCATTCAGTCAGTCCGTGGGAAAGCATTCTCAATGCTTTCCTATGGACGCTGGCGTCTTCTCACTGTGAAAATCACAGTGGGAAGCGCCTCTAGCGGCTGTCAATGAGACAGCCACTAGAGGCTGGATTAACCCATATGTAGAGTAGGATAAGCTTGAGTAGGATAAATAAACCTACTTTTAATTAGTCCATAAAATGTCGACGTTTCAGCTCCAACACAGAGCTTTCATCAGGACAAACAACAAACTTAAGTTTCACTCATCCTACTCAAGTCCTCAGAGTGTAGTTTAGCCTACAACTTTGCCAAAACCAGCACCGGGCATTATCACGATTACCAGGAGTGCAAGACACTCTTTGGATTAGCCGTATTAGTGCAGTAGATTGATCAGTATTGCCTCAGACCTGAGGAAGAAAGGAAAACTCTGGAAAGCTTGTCTTTGAAATATTATGTGAGTCCAATAAAAAAGGTGGTATTGCATGCTGCAATACTCTGGTATTTTGGATATATATATATCTCTATATATATATATATATCTCTGTTTTACAATGGCTCGCACTTACGACCAGGCGTAAGTCTATGTTTGGGGGGGTTCCCTGCTCTGGTGCTTTCGTCTATGTTCGGGGAAGTTTCCCTGAACATAGACGAACACACCAGACCAGGGAATCCCTTAGTGTGTGTGTTTTATATCCCCTACTGGTAAGAATAGCTAGTGTGAATTGTGTTTTGTTGTTACATGTCTAATCATCTTGATTGGTGCTTTCTTCCTGTCAGCTCACATCTGGAGACTTCGGCCCCCTCAGTCTCCACGGGAAGAAAGAATATGCTCCACTGAAGAAACATCAGATTGCTGCAGCAGAGGGATCTGCCCATTAATTCTGCTCCCGCAACCTTGCCTCATCATCTTCCCCACACACCTCTGGACCTCTAGGACATGTTCAGTGTCCAGCATCTGCTGCACTTTATGACTTGAACTTGACCCCGCCCCATTTTGTTTGTTTGGCTGTATACCACATGTATTATACCTAAAGGAGGCAAGGGGAATTGCCAGGAGCCCTATCTGAGCCCTTATTACAAATAATGCAAATGGGGGCTGCTGGACTTTTTTTTTTTTTCTCACACCAAACCCATCTGTTGCTTGTGTGTTTGGGGTAATGGAGCCCTGTGTTCACTACCACAGGTTGTTTATTTTTTCCTTAGTAATTAAACGTTTATTTGGTTTCCACCATTCTGGTTCCCGAGCTTAGATTTAAAGTTCTTGCAGCTGTGCTGTTTTTGGTGTTTTTGCTTTGAGATTTATTTTTTATTTATTCTCTCTCTTCTCATGAAGCGGTTTAATAATATAAACTTGTGCATTACATGACCGTAAATGAGAACAAGGATGAGATCATGGCTTTGAAAAAAAATGACATTGGTACATTTTGAGGAAATATTTCTTAAATTGTTTTATACCACTTTTGTCGCATACACACATGCTCCCAGTTACTAGGGTGTTATATTAATAAGGAGAAATACACAGCAGAGGTGGAAATAGATTATTTAAAGATCTCCTCTAGCCACACAATCTGTTACTGTAAGACTACAGGGCAAGAACCCCATGTAGCAAGAAACCTTTTAATAAAAAAAACAAATCCACCCACCCTCGTACAAGAAAACTTTAGCCCCTGATGCGCTCCACTCCCCTCCCCCTTCGTGTGCCAACCATTTTAGTTTTTGAATAGACAGAGCCAGATGTGTAGTAACCACACTGAGTGAGTGCTGGTGGTCCACACTCCAATCTGCTGAGCTCATTATATGGGATTCAGGAAGAACAAGGATGGGATCATGGCTGGAGGAAAACTAAAATATTGCTCCAGTTGTTTATACCACTGGCTTCACTTTCTTACATACACACATGCTCCCAATTATAATGTGCTGTCTTATTTAATAAGGACAAATACACAGCAGAAGTGGGAAGAGATTATTTAAATACCTCCTGTACCCCACCATGTGCTACTGTGAGAATACAGAGGAAGAACCACTTAATCTCGAAATAACAAGAAATCTTTAAAAAAATAAATACATTCCACCCTCCCACCCTGGTGCAAAACACTCTAGCCCCTGAAGCCCTCCTCCCCCAACCCACCCTCTCTTGTGCCAGCCAGTTCATTTTTTGGGTAGACAGAGCCGGATGTGCAGCAACCACATTGAGAGCTGAGGGTCCACACATTGCCACCCCAATTTGCAGGGTCCCTGAGGGGAGTGCTTATTATCCGGCATTCAGGAAGAAACTTCATATTGCTTGGAAGATAACTGTACGGCTTTCCATGAATGAATGCGTGATGGTGTTGATCTCCATGCTGAGTACAGGAGTGCAGTGTGTATGTGCTGTATGTCTTTACAGTCATGCTTTGTGTTTGTATGGCACAATGTGTAGCAGTGAGTGACTGGGCCTTCAGATGTCTATCATTTGGCACTGTGCTTTCTAGTAGTAGTGATCTGTATAATAACTCTGACAACTCCTCACACATTTTGCTCCATGTTTCAGGAGATGACACTCCTGCCTTGTATGTGAGACTTGAGATGCTATTTTAACTGCCTTAAACAGGACTGTGATCTGGTGATACATGTGCCACTGCGCAGAGCCTCTCAGGGCTGCGTGCTGTCCTCTGAATGCTGTGATACAGATGTGCTTCCAGTCCTGCACCTATTTTATCAAGCAACTCTGTGGTTTGTGGCCCATAGCCATAGTCTTGCTCAGGGTCCTCTGGGACAATAGGGGGTTCATCAGGGGCAGGGATATGCTCAGAAGGCTCTTCCTCTATGGCCTGAATTTTCTCTTCTGGGGTGAGGGAGGATGGGCTCTGTGGACAGCCATCTGTCCCTTCCTCATCAGTAGAGCTTGCAATACGTGGCAAAGTGCTGTGGTATCGAGTGTCAGGTAGGTAATTGGCACTATCTCCCCTGCGCAGTTGGGGAGCACGATGTTTATCAAGTGCTGGGGGGAAACGAATGCCGGGATCACTGTACTGCTTGGTTCTCTGCCATTGCTTGCGCAAGTGAGCACGGGAACGATGTTTCATACGAAGGGGAGAGTCGTCATACTGTGGATCATGCCTTAAAAATTCATTAAATAATGCATCTGTTTTCTCATCAATGCTGTAATCTCTGCGTGACACTGCCTCTCGAGGAGTCAAGGTCTGGGCATGGTGTGGGAACCAGGCCTCCTCCTCCCCTCCAGAAGCTCCTTGTTCATACAGACGCCCTTCCAAGCTTTCAAAGACTGTTCCTTTACGCCCAGCATGTGTAAAAAAGAGTCTCTTCTCAGATGCAGTTTTATCTCGATGTGGACTGCATGACTCTTCAGGGGGCCTGCAAGGAGCTTCAATGGAGGCATAACCACTGTCCATCTGTAAAAGCTTACGTGGTCCTGTTTCCGGCTCAGCACTCCGCACAGGACGGCCATCTGGAAGGTCTTGAGAGGGGAGGCTGGGGAGACCACTTAAGGAACTTACACTGTCCGCATCACTGCGCACTGAGTCACGGTCATTGTTGCTGCTGCTTTGATCGGAAGCACAGAGCTCTAGCGATGCACGCAGGCTCCATATATCACACTGGGGAGGGAGCAGAGTTTGCTCGGTGGTCCCTATGTCTGAGAGAGACCCATCCTCCCCATGATCTAACCTACAGATTACAAAAGAATCACAATTAGGGAAGAGAAAAGAGAATTTGGATGTGGGGCCAGCTCAGGATATATGTGACAAAATGGATAGGAGAGGTTGTAGTTTTGGGAACATAGGAGAGGGACTATTTAGATGTGAAAAGGGTAATAGAAGAATACCTGCCGAGAGATTGTGGTGGGGTCCCGTGGTGTGAGATGAATGTTCCTTGGCTGGAAGGGAATGCAGTATCTTGAGTATGGGCTATGTACTGTATGATATCATCACGTTCAGCACTCTCACTTGCTGCTCTCTGCCGCTGAAACTGGTGCCGCTTTGGAGACCCTGTAGAGCAAAGAGATAATAGTAGTATTATATTAACTAATATCTATTTTTTTTTAGGACCAGCTGGTTACCACCTTTCAACCTATATCAATTTGTTAAATAATGTGATCTTGCTTTAATCACCTAGTACAGTCACCTCCACATAGCTACCGGATAGCTTCCATACACAGCTTTTCACTTCATAAAAAAACATTTACAAAAACGGTTATTCTATTTTCGTTGATTGTGTTAGCACTCTAGACTTGCTTTAGATTACATTTTTATTAGGGATGTGCATGGGCAAAAATTCAGTTTGGTTCGGAAACTCAGGTAAGAAAAAAAAAAATTGTCTGCTTCGGCAATTTGGACCAATGGCATTTGGTTCGGGACTTCGGCAATTCGGAACTTCGGTAATTCGAATCCTACCCCTAACCCACTTTGGCGTTTCTGTTCAGCAATTCGGACATCCGTAAGCATCCGAATTGCACGAAATTCGTCCGAATGTATTTTCGAAACAAATTGCACGTCTAATTTTTATTATGATGCAAACTTTCCACCTAAACTCCATATGTGCTTAACACTAAAGCAGCATTATTAAGTAGAATAAAAAAAAGTAGGGAGAAAAAACTAGCGCCATTTTTTTGTGTGTCAAGGTGTGTATCTGTGTTTGTAGGTGCCAGTGTGTGTATCTGTGTGTCAATGTGTATGTATCTGACACACACAGAGATACACACCTTGACAGTGTGTGTGTATGCGTGTATGTATGTATGTATGTATATATGTGTGTGTGTGTGTGTATATATGTTCATATTCATATTCATATTCTCCAGACACACAGATACATCTTGACTCACATACACACAGACACATACAAACTCACTGACAAGCACACATATACTCTTTGACAGACACACAAACACATACAAACTCCCTAATAGACACACATACAATTTTATTTTTTTTAAATTTTACTCCACCCAGCCCCCCTACTTTTGGGAGTGCTGGCATGGAGTCTATGTCCCTGTGTTCCAGCGGGCTGCTGGGCTGAGTGTGTGGTCCCTGGTCCCTGGGTTTGCTGAGTGGCTGGCGTGCGGGTGGTGAGAAAGCAGTGATCTCCCTTCTCAGCTCCCTCCTGAGCCTCTTAGTGATGCCGGAGCAGTGTCATATTCCGGCTCCGGCATCACTGCGGTGTGCGCAAGCTAAGCAGGGAGATCATTGTCCACTGCTCCCTCGTCACCTGCGACCATTTTTTTTTTCCAATTTTTTCCAATTTTGATGGAACCCCAATTGTGTTCTCTCAGAACACCAACTGGGAAATGCTGCCTTAGCAGATTACAGGCTTTGAAGCAGCAATGTTAACAGAATTTGCAAAGACCCCCAGTGGTGACTGCTGCAGGGAGTAGCAGGCAAAGGTGAGGTCTACTTATCTGACCGGTCCTTTGCGGCGGCCGCCCTCTTCTTCCCGCTGGTTATTTTCAAGACCAGGAGCCAACATCACAAGACCACGGGATCCTCCACAGAAAACACAAATTCCCTGCAGTGGACTGGGGGGGGATTGACACTTTAGAAGGTGTTGGCTCCGCCCAGAAACTAGAATCGTCAGGTATTGGAGAAATACTAAGACAAAGTAGTCTTTATTTTGTCTCTGTACATCTCTTGACTAGGTTGAAATTTCAGTAGGAATCTGAAATACTTAGTTTTCCATGGGGGTTGGTGACATTGCTGCTTTAAAGATCTAAACACGTAAGAAAACGTACATGTTTCCTGAGCTTAGATGGATAAGAGTGTTTGTTACAAAATTGTTTCAACATCTGCCATGACAGAAAGTTTTGAAAAGGGCAACATTGCGATATCAAACTTTACTCATTACCGTCTCACCTCAAGTATATTGGTTGATTTATTCTGTGTTCTAGAGATTAGAATGTCCTCTTTTGGCATTGAATATAGAATTGAGCCCTCTCTGTTCCCTGAATGACAGCCTCCCACCACCAGTTTCATATTGTTTATTAAAGCACATCATGTCACTTACCTCTGGTATCTAGGCTGCTTGCTCTCTGCACACTGCCTAGCTTCCATTTCTTGATTTTAAGATAAGGGCTTGCTCCTTCCAAACTTGCATGGCGCCGTAGACGATTGAAGAAGTGAAGGACAGCACCATGACTTCGAGTGGGAGTCACATCTGAGCTTCCATCTCCCTGAGATGGATGACTGCTTAGATCAAACTGAAGGAAAGAGGAGGTATATAAGGTTAATCTTTAAACACTTACATTTTGGCCCCATCATTAAGCATGTTTTTCTTCAGGTGTTCCTTACTCACCCTAGCACTGGCGGGGCTCTGTCTTGGGGTAAGTGTGCTGCGCTTTGGAGTATCCATAAAACTTGTGTCAGCCACAGAGTTATATGCATCTCCTGGAAGGGCAGAGCTTGGGCTGAGTGACAGACGCGTGAGTGGAATTGGAGAACTGCGAGGTGGCTAAAGAGAAGTCACATCAGTGGAATTACTTCACAATTAAATTAGATAGAACTGTATTAAAACATTTGTGGAAAGAATGTACTGTGCAGTTCATGAAACATTGCCCAATGCAGTGAAAAATGCATTATAGGTGATCATGATGAAGCCATGCACTGTCCCCACACATACCTGATATATAGAGATGTTGGACTTGCTAGGGGAGGTGGGTCGAGTCTCTGATGTGCCACCACTACTGCTGCTTTCCCCTCCCTCACTCTCATGTATGGTTAGGATGTGAAGAGCAGTGGGAGGTAGAGAAGGAAGTGGGGGAAGTGTCAATCGTGCATTCTTAAGATAGTGGAAGTCTCCTTCAGTCAGAGTATACCTAAGGTGGATAATAATATTCAGACATCCTGTCGTCAAGTTCCACATAGTGGATTAGAATAAACTATTAATATCACTTTTTTAATTTCCTCTACCATATAATTTTGTTCTTACTGTTGTGCCCCTATACTGATCACTTTATGTTCTCTCTTATATACCCTTTTCATTTAAAACATTTTTCTTTTTAACATTCTTCCTATTCATTAATTCCTTGCTAAGTCATCCCCTTCCCACTCCCCTTTACTTTTTCTACACTTGTTCCAACTCTGGTTTACTGCACACAGAAGACTGATGTCTACAGCACATAATGTATTACAAACCTACCACCACCCACCATCTTGTCATAACCTCACCTTCTGCCACGGTCCCTTTCTTTCTTCTCTTGTCCACACAGGGCTCCCTCATTGAATGAGACCCTTCTGCCACTTGAAGCTGTACACAAAAATCTGCCTGATTCTGCATCACGGAGACCTGAGGCCAACAAAGACTCTGCATCCTCAATGTGTATGGTTATGTCTGTGGGTTAAGAGCCAGAATTCAGAAATAAGATCTGACAGAAGTCACATGCTACTATTATATAGTCTTTCGTACCATGGGTGGGTTGAGATTCATCCACATAAGAAGTGTTTGTTTTCTCTGCATCATCACTTGGCCTGGAAAAAGATGAAAACCTCTTAATTTCTGACCAACAAAACAACGGCACAACTAAGTACTACATAACAATAAGGCTAAACAATAAAGAACACAATGCAGGCAATACAAGGAGCATCTCTTTGCACCTAGAGAATCGCAGGCGAGAATCACAGCAACGTCTGCAAAGAATCAGGACCCCGGTGAGCAGAAGTAGTGTTCCCCCAATGAAGATGGAAAGGAGAACCAAGAGTAGCACGTACCCATCCTGAGGTGGGGTACTCGGAGCAACCTAGTAAAAGTAAAGAAGAAATGTCAATAGATTTTCATATAATCTTAGCTCATCTTGACTGCAGGGATGAGTTTTTAATAAATTCAGATAATAAATACGTAATAGATATGAACTTTCATTTCATAAAATTTTTTATATTTAATATGTGCATTGGCGCAGGTCTTCAATTTCTCCATGTTGCATAAACTGTAAGAGCTAGGAAATATTTACTAAACATATCTAAGCTATTTAACTCCGTAAGAGTTGTTGACCAATTTAGTTGGCTTTCATCTGATTATTTGAACATCCAAAGTATTATTGGATTCTTAAGATTTATTGCTATAGGTCCATTGGCTATGAGCCAAAACAGATTCCCCAATATTCTTTAAACAATAAAAAGGTGGGTAATGCAGTGTGATATTAAATCATTAATCTCAATCAACAGAGAATTAAGTATATAACGGTTTATATACTGTTATATGGTTAATTATCTCAGCAGATCCTCACAGAACTCGTGTAATGGCTTATCTCTGTGTGTATATATAATATATATTTTACTTCTATGTAGAAAGCTGTTCTTACCGTGGAAGTGTCAGTTATATTCTCTAGTGCAGGTGACTCATAGCTCATGATCTGACACCTGCAACAAAGGAAAGATGAGAAAATGGGGTGGTTGAGATGAAATTATGAGGACTTGTAAGTAGAAAATTAATTGGCGCAGAGTAATGACAAAAATAAAAAAACAATACACGGTACAAGAATCGGGGACCAAGGAGCAAATGAATGAGAAATGTAATACCCAAGATAAAACAAATTCCCCTAGGATTTGATATAATCTATATCAGAATACAGTACTGTATAAGGTTAATAACATATACCTCATCATTAACCTGTGATAAGAGTATAAACACAACAGATTGACAGTATCATGATACCAAATCAGTGTACTTTTTAGCCCTAATTTGGGTAAAAATGTGCTGAAGACATGTTCTTGGAGTTTGCTTTATATAAATGTCTTCTATCAAAGACTACTTTTTTTGTTGTTTTTAATAAGAAGTGTAACCAAACCAAGCAATTATTTGGATACAAGACTTGCATTGATATTATGGAAGCCCCACCATATATAAAAACAAAAACAAAAAAAACATAAAACAATGATTCTTACTTGTGACCTAAATAGGTGAAAGTATGATAAATCGTTAATGTTTTATTGGATATATTGGTGGTCTTTGTATCTATAATAGCATTCTGAATATAAGTGTATTCTATATATGTTGGCTTTTGACAATACAGGGTCTGATTTTAGATTCATCACATTTATGAATAAGTGAAGAAATTACATTACCATTCAGGTTTGCTGACTGCTTCATTTTAGAACTCTGCCTTAGAATTGTTATTTATAAATAACAACCAAACTAGCACTTTAGGTTGGTCTAGAGATTACAGAGGCTGCTAGTGAAATACATCCTGATTTTCTGAGCCTGCAACCCAAAATAGTCACAGTATATGCAGTATTTAGTCTGGGGTACAGTGGTTGGGACAATCTATTTGATTTGCCTGTTTGTTTTTGTAAAATATGTAAGTTTTGTTGGACAATGAATTTGTGTAAATGATGGAGACTTGCTTGTTCTGTGTGCATAGGAGGCTCTTCTGTAGCTGTATGTATATTAGGAATACGGTGTGATGTGTAATGGATACTGTTAAGAACCTTGTCTGTTTTATAATCAAATACTGTAATATTTATTTACGATAACAGAATAACTTGAATTATTGACTATTAAACTGTATACATGTATAGCAAGTTATATTTCGTGCAAACATATTACATATCAGTACATAGTGAATGCAGTAGAAGAGAAGAAAAACAAAACAGCTAACAAACCAATATATATATATAATCACAAAAATACACATGGACAAAAAAATAAAATTCTAAAACATTCCACATTACAGCCAATTTAATCAGCAATATTATACAATAATAGATATGCCCAGAACATATCGCTGCAACACCCTGAAGATTCTCATATAACACCTATATAAAATCTTATACTGAGATTGATAGAAGTCTATTGAGTTGTGTTGGGATTTATTAACTAACCGGTGAATTATGGTGCATTGTGAAAAGCAGAGTTGGAAAACCATTCACAGCGTGGCTATGAAGAATCGGGTTTAAATTTACCACAGTATTTTTAGTAAACAACCCCCATGAGTAAATGTTTTAACATATCATGTCTAGGCAAAGCCAATATAATGCCAAGTCAGGGATTCATTATCCACAGGAAGTGTGCACAAAGGTGCCTATACACTAGTTTTTTTTTTTATACACAGATTGGTGTATGAATATAAAATACCCAGAACAGTCACAACAAAGCATAATTCTACTCACAGCAATAGCCATCAGCTGCCCATAGAATGCCCAGGAGGTGAAACAATGTAACAAGGACCAAACAGAGAATTCTGGTTCAACATCATTTTCCCAGTGCCAAACAAAGCTCAGTCCATATAATACTCACTTATAGGGTTAATAATACAGCCATTAATTGCACGTGTATTTTTATATAATCTCTCGGTAGTTTCTCTATAATAATGGCATTCGATGGGCAGTATGTGGGCATGCTATAAACAATGATGGTGTATGGGCACAGATACACGGACAGCGCCCACATTGTACCTGATTACAGCTGGTGGGGCCTCCAGTGACTGATTATACAATGCCCGGTCAGTGCCCACATCGTGCCCCATCAATTACCATGTATTGACACCCGGCATTGGCCACAGAATGCCCACACTTCTCCCAGGCAATGCCCACCCTCAGCAGCCTAGCAGTACCCTAACATTACCCACCTTCAATACGGGCCCCGCTCATGCCCACTCCTCCCTCCTCCTCCTCCCCCGGGGGATGCTGAATGCCCGGTACCCGGTTCTCACCTCCGGGTCCAGTTCTGAGCTGCAGCTCCGTCACCGGCCTGAGGATTTATGAATGAAGCCCGGAGAAAAAGCCTCCGCCCACCAGAGACCACGTGACTCGCATGGCTGCAGACAGAGGAGGGGGGTTATGGACCCTCTGAGCATCTAACCAGAGAGAGGTGTATGGCAGGAGGAGTACAAGGGATCCAATAGTACCTCCAAAATATACTCTGCTACAAATGGAGCAAAGGGGGACATAAATAATAATACGAAATATAGATAGATAGATATTACAATATGTCTAAATAAATATATCTATATCTATATATACACACATAGATACACACACACAGACAGCGTTTTATTTTTAATTCATAGACAATTATTATTGCTAGTATAAATCCTGGCACTGATAGGGTAAGCTTGGGTACAGACAACCACAATATGTTACAGTGTGTTAGGAACAGTGAGTAAGGGGTGGGAGATTGGCACGGGGGCCAGCAAGTGAGTCATAGTGTGTGATTATTTATAGGCTGTGGCATATATGGAGCAATGAAAAAGGGAGAAAAATAATGAGAAATGAGTAGAAATCAGAGGGTCTGGAGAGAAAAGAATGAGGTAGACTATGGATAAATTAGAGAAAAAATGACGTAACTAATAAGGATAAAGTATGAACTTATGTTTAATACAATGTAATAATGTGCTGTTACATAGTGGTAAAATAATAAGAATGGATTGAATGTATTTCAAAAATAAAATTTTTAAAAATCAGAATGGTAATTGTAATAATACACCCTGCTGTGATAATATTTGTAAATGCAATATATACACTATATGGCCACATCTATGTGGGTATCCCATCAATTTCAGTCACACCAACTGCTGACAATAGGTGCTTAAAATTAAATGCTGGTAATAGTTATGGCGCCTAGACTGATTGTTTAAACGTACAAACGTAATCCCTGTAGAAAACCATTAGCAGTAGAATGGCCAATACTGCATGAACACTCACTTTCATCTTGGCAACTCTAGGATGCCACCTTTCCAACAAATCTGTTATTCAAATTTCTTCTCTTCTAGAGGTGACCCGATCAACTCTGGAATGGAAATGTCCAGAAACACCAGCAGGCTACTGAAGGAGATACAAACACACTTATTTAGCACATCAATTCTGTGGCCAAGTTACCCCTGCAGCCAATTCTTCCATCCATTACATTGCTTTCCCTCACTTCAAGGGGAAGGATGTCAGGTAGATGTGGCTAAAGAATGCTTTTGGCTGCAAAGGCAGGAGTTGTGATGCCACTGAACATCTGTCACCACCATGCGTGCTAATGAAGGATGCATATTATGCACAGTATTCAAATTAGCACTCAGGAAGTCTTGTGTCGGGGTGCTAATGATGCTGCCAGAGGTTGTTAAACCACCATCAGCAAAATTTATTATTTGTGCAATTGCAGCATTTCTTCCTGAAATGCTTCACATACAGACTCCAAGCACCATGACTTCTTCGAATCACTGAAGTGGCAATAGTGTTTAGAGTAACCCTTAAGGCTTTATTCTAAGCCAACTTGAGGTACATTAGTATGCCGAGTTCTGTAATAAAAGACACTATGGGCACCAAGACCACTTCATCTCAATGAAGTGGTGTGGGTGTCATGTCTCTGTCATTTTGTCCCTGCAATGTAAAACATTGCCGTGCTACAGAACGGCAATATTTTCTTTTCTTTTTTTAATTTTATTCTTTATCTTTGCATTTTAAAGGTTTGTACAGAAAATCGGTATAAACGTACCGACACATGTCATGACAGAAGTGTACCATTGCAAACGATACAATACAAATTAATGCATTGAGTCCTCAATATACTGTAGTCCAATATAGCTTTCTTAAGTCGTTGGTATCATCAGTTTCAAGACAAAGGGTAAAACACAACTTAATAGAATACAATACAGTATTTCTTGTCATTGAGATAAAGTAACATAAAACTTCATTAACATAAATGATTGAGAATGGCAATATTTTCTTTATAGTGTTTAAGTGCCACTAGTGGCTGTCACTCAGAGGCATTTCCAAAGACATAGTAGAGCAAAACTTGCTCTTTCTATCAGATGATCTCAGAGAACCATCTGATTGGTGCAGCGCGTTTTGCCTTGCATCCTATAAGAAAACATTGGATTGACTGAGATCATCGATACCAACAGGACTTTTTTTTTTTTGTCAACCAGTTTTTAATTGTGAAATTGTTAGAAATATACAAGTGTATCATAGAGCAGTGAAGCAATGCTAAAATTTCCTGTATAGTATAATTGTGCAGATATGCTATACAAAAATAACAGTATCCTGATGTATGCATAAACAGTGAAAAGTCAGTAGTACGAGATTAGTCCTCTACAATATCATCAAATAGCTCGTTCTCAGGCACAATATAACCGCTAATGGATGGAGGTTGACCTTACAATATGAGGGTATACTAGAGGGAGAGAATACTTAGCTAAAATGCATTATCAAGTAGAGTCTGCAAAACCATTGTTTGCCAGTGTGAAGGACTGGGCTGGCCATTTCACATATTTATTGTGTTTGAGTGGGTGTCCTCTACCCAGTGTCATAAGGAGTTGGGTATTCACCTAGTGATCACATCTTAAGGGTATTTACTCTGCGTCCCCTGTCCATGATTTGTAAAATTGTGGGGTCCACGATCTATCTTTCTGTAATGAAAAGTTATTAGTAATGTTCTGAGCTATGTTGTGGGCAATGTTTTCAAATCATAAGCATCTCAAATGATCCTAAACAGTCATACACCAGTCCTCATCCAGATCGTTTCTGTATCCTGTCTAATCATTTAAAGTCCCTTTACTACAGTCCGTGCAATTAAGTACAGTATTATGCTGAACTATGTAGTGGTTATCCTTCAGTGATAATATAGTTTTTTTCTTCCGAGTTCTCCCTTCGTTTCCTCTGCATAGGGACTATGAAAACCTACTGTAGATTAAGTGGCAAAGATAGAACAAGTAGAACAATAAGAAGGAAGGTACATAATAAAGGGAGACGACTGGACTTTTAACTATTATGTTTTTCTGTCCCTTTCTCCGAATTCTTCTTCATTACAGAAGAGAAAGAGGGCATGTTTGCCCATCTATTTGCCCTTAAATTATCTTGTGTTTTTAATATCTATTACTTTGCAGATATTTTTCTCTTTTGTCTCCTTTAAATCTTACGTATGTTTCAACATCCTTTCCTGTATTTGTGATTTCTACTTCACTTGTGCAAAAATTTGTTTTGGCCAGTTCATCCAAATCATCAAATTTCAATAATCAATCAATTCATTTTAAAACACAACAATGAACCAATCCATCCAGGATCACTATGTGTAAAAAAAGTTGTTTTCATCAGTCTGTCTAATCTCTGTTTTTGGGTTAATAAAAATAGAACATAGTGGGAGGTATTGGATGAGGGGTTGGTAAGGTTATGACCAGGGAAGATCTCATTTTTTTACACAGGGCACCTAAAGGCCTTAGTCTGAAATCGGGACCGTTTGGATGCCTGCAAAGGGGAAAGGAACTGCCATAGTCGGCCTATTTATGATTTTGTTCCCCTGTGTCCACGGAAACCACAGAACTATTATCTGGCAGTTCAGTACGAACGCATCGTTAGATGCTCTGCCGCTGTGAATTGGCACTAGGACCATTCTGAAAGTGCTTTAATGGATGTGCCTGCCCTTTTCTGGACAGTCTGCCCATAATGGGCAATGCCAGTGACACAAGTCACATAACTGGTGATGCCCACTCAGGGCCTGCCCACCAGTCCAGATCTAATACCTCCCAAACTTGGGACGTATTCCTTTGCTTTCCCCTGTTCTCAATTAATACCCATCAATACATTCAAAATAATGCTACCTGTATCCCCTAAAGAGGTGTTAATGCCTTGATAATTCATCTTCGGTAGGATTGGAATAGTTTAAAAGCTTGACTGTTTAATATAAGGTATATTAAACTTGACAAAGCATTGTCAAGTTGTCACTGAACTTGACAATGGGGCTCTCAAAAAGCATCAGAATAGTGTGATTGCTTCAGCATTGCTCATCAGCAGTCGTTAACATGCTGTTAATGATAAAATAATTAATTGTTGTTAATGATCAAATCTGATAAATAATGACAATATAGAGCAACAACCTACAAGACCAAAAATGATGATGTACACGTTAACTTTGAATGCCATGTCAGTTTTGAATTTTGTGGTTACTGGTAACAATTCTCAGTGACATAAATTCCATAAGGAGTGGCAAAATGTAAAGATTAAAATACCTACCAAAAGTATCACTGTCACTTTGCATATTCTGTTTCTGCTGAAAAGCTAATTTACCCACAACCCATCAGTGAAAAATGTTTGATGGATTAATTTACCTCTATCTTGGTTGTCCTCTCACCAGGTTTGGCTGGAGTTTGGAAAACAGAATGGGTGATGTGTGCATCTGCATGTGACTTCAGAAAGGCAAAATGCAATGGACAGAGGAGAACATAATGGAGGCCCCCAACATTATGAAGCAAGGAGCAAAATATAAGAGGCAGGGGAGAGGATAACCATTAAAATATAAGGTAAAGAACACTATAGCAAAATTGCCAATGCTGACAATGCTGAAGAGGCTGACCCACAGATGCCTAGCTTATTAACAACACTAATAGGAACATGTTCTAAGAAGAGTGTTTTTTTTTTTTTTTACTGGATCTCGATCCTGAAATATTGGAGATTTTGTGCTTAGTGGCCAAGTTCTAGTAGCATTTAAAATGGTTATTCTGCTAGAAAAGGACTTCTCTACAGCCGGGTATTTCTCAATGGGCAAACTTCACAGCATAGCTTGCAAATGTGGGTTATGCCACACATCCTCGGACAAGGGAGCTAACACACCAGCTACTATAAGTGACTTAAAAGGATATACGCACACTGTTTCAGGACAGTCTTTTCATAATATGAGTGGAGTTGTATACCCTCTGAGAAAGCATTAAAGCTACAGGACACACTAGACTTTAATGTCCACTAGATTTTTTTTTCTTCTACACAAGTGACCCTGTTCCAGAACCAAGCTCAGAAGCTTACTGAACATGGAAATAAGAGTTATCTAAAAAATATCAGGGGTATACATGAGAATGTGGATGCAATAGAGATTCCTGACATTCTCTGCTGACTCTTATACAAGCTTTTACCTTCTA